AGGTGAGCGCAACATTGAAAACACTGGCCCTGCTGCAGAAGCTGTGGCGGGGGCTGGCAGTCAGGCCCCCTTCTGCTTCTGCCCCTCCAGGCCTCCCACCCCTGGACCTCCTTACATGGCCTCCCCTAGCCTCTGGTCCCGCGGTGAAGGCTCGGCCCAGCGCCCGCCAGGCCTGGAGCCTGTGCAGCCGACCTGGGAGGGCTCCTCAGAGGTGGGCCTGGCCTGGGCCGGGCCCAGCTTCCCCTCAGGGACCCCGCTGTGGGCAGCCCTGGATGAGCAGATGCTGCAGGAGGGGATCCAGGCCTCACTCCTTGACGGGCCAGCCCCGTGTTCTGAGACCCCGCTATGGCTGCCTAAGTCGTCCGTCTCCTCTCTGCGGTAAGGCGGGTGGCCCGGGGGGGGGGCGGGGGGGCGCCCTGGGGCAGGGGCTGGAGGTGGCCCTGACGTTCCCTCCCTCCGCCCCCCAGGCTGCAGCAGCTGGAGCGCATGGGCTTCCCCACAGAGCAGGCGGTGGTGGCACTGGCAGCCACAGGCCGAGTGGAGGGTGCTGTGTCGCTGCTGGTTGGCGGGGAGGTGGGCACTGAGGCCCTGGTGACGCAGGGGAGGGGTGGGCCCGCTCACCCTGAGGGTCCTGGTCCCCCCTAGCCCTGTCCGCCCGAGAGTCGCGGTGTGGTGCGGGAGAGCCCCCTCCGGCACCCCACGCTGGTACTGTTCAGAATAAAGACTAGGTCATTTTTCAACCTGGACCTCCTTGGGGGCAGCTGTTGTCTGACTCTCCTGTGCTCGCAGCAGGGGGGAGGGATGAATGAATGCGCAGTGAAGGAATGACCCATTACAGGAGAACAGCTCCTTGATGTGTGGAGACACACCTCCCCCCCCACCCTGCCCCGTGTTGTGTGTGGGCAGGGAAGGCCACCGAGGAGAGGGAAGGGGCTCCTGGCCCAGCCCAGCCGCACCCCATCTAAGCACACACTGAGACCAGGCCAGTGGGACATCAGGACATCAGACTGGGGGCCTTTATTGGCTGGAGACCTCTACCTCCAGGGGGCCCCTCCCTCTCCATGCCCCCACCCCCACCTGGGACATGGGAGGGGCTGGGGGCTGTGGGGGGACAGGACCTATGCAAGGAATCCCCAGTGTCCTGCCTGTTGAGCTCAGGGTGGGGACCCAGCACCAGAAATCAAGGAGAGGAGGGGTACGGGGGGCTCCCCGAAGTTTGGCTGGGGAGGAGGGGGTGGCAAGCCTCGAACCTGCCCCCCATCCCCTGCAGGCCTGCATCATCCTACTTCACAGAGGGAGATGGAGGCCCAGGGCCCTGAGCGAGGCCTCACCTCTTGCCTGGGCTGCCCCTCCCTCTCAGTCCACTGTCCCTTCTCAGCTTCATATTAGGCTTGCACGGGGAATCAGGACCAAGACTTGCCCATCCCAAAGGCCTAGGTGGCAGAAGGGACCCTGAGGACATTAATAAATATGGATGGGCGGTCCCTGGAGGCAGCTGGCCAAGTCCAGGCTGGGAAGGGAAGCCTGGCCTGGTCTGCCCCTAGGGCCGCCCCCGCCCTCAGCCTCTCTCGCTGTGGCTCCTGGGGGCCACGATCCGGTAGTTGGCTGCGTGTCCTCCCCTCTTGCCCCGCAGAAGGCTGGGGGTGCCTGTGCCGACGGGGCCTGCCCCCGACCCCTCTGGTTCTGCCGGAGGGAAGGAGAGAGTCTGGGTTAGTGAGGTCTGTGTGAGGTGCCCGTCTCCCTTCGGCCCTCGGGGGGCTGGGGCGCTCGGTACTCTGCCAGCTGCACTCTGCCCTGGCGTCTGGGAGGCAGAGCTGTGAGAAAGAAGGGTGTTTGCAAGCTGGTTAGTGCCTCCCCTCCGCCCCCGGGAGTTATCAGCTCCCCACCCAGTGAGAGCACTCAGGGCCTCTACTGGATTTTCTCCGTCAAGTAAGGATCAATGAACCTGCCATGTTTCTGAAATGCTTAGCACGGAGCGAATGCTCCATAAAAGTATAGTCCTTTCCCACATTTTGGGGGCAGAGGCGTGCCCTGAATCATCCCTGTTTCATAGCTGGGTAAGCTAAGGTCAGGGAATAGACTCACTCTCCCCCTCTCCTTGGGTGAGGCCACGTGTGGTGAGGAAGAGTTTAGAAAGGCCAGGCTCTGCCACTGACCTACTGACAGCTTTGGGCAAGTCTAGTCTCTGCCAGGGCCTCAACTGTCTCATCTCTAAAACCAGGAGGGATAGTTCCAGATACACTCTGAGGTCCTGGCCAACTCCAGTAATTATTGAAATTCGTTCTAATATGGCCCCAACCTGGAAATGAGCTGTCCCACAAGAGTGAAACTAAATAATTGGCATTCTTGCCACCTGGAAAACTCTCATCCTTCAACACCCAAGCAAGGCCTACCTCCTTCAAGAAGTCTTCTGCCGCTAACACTTCGGTCCCCCTCTAAGTTAAATAAGTAGGTCAGGTAGGTCAGGATGGGCTATTTTTCCAGGGCGAGAGGAACACTCAAAGAGCAGAGCCCCAGGATGGGGGACTTGGCTGAGCCTCCAAAGTCCTGTTCAAAAGGACAGACACTTGGACTCTGGTGAGCACCAGCTTCCCACTGGGGCACTGCCAGGGGAGTGGGCTATACCCTCCTAATCCTAGCTGTCTAGCACTCTGACCCTGTGTGCCCCAGCCTCCCATACACCTCTGGGCTGAAATTTGGGGCCCCTGGGACAGACAGGCGTGTGTGGTCACAGTCAAGGGAGATTTCATGCCCTAAATCAGGGAGCTCAGGCTCCAACATCAGCTAGGGCCAAGTCCTGGCCCCACCATGTACCAATGATGTAGTCTTGGGCAAGTCACAGAATCTCTGAGCCTCATCTGCAACATGGGGATAATACCGTGTCATACCCCTGTGGTAAGGGTTTAAGGTGACCAGGAGTGGAAAGTGGTTTTCGCATGCTGGATTATTATGGTCACTAGGTGTGTTTTTGACCCAGCTCTCCTGCAGGCCTGGCCACTGTGAGTTGGTCATGAGATGCTACTCTGACACAATCAGATTCAGGGCCCTTAGTTTCCCCTGGGCCCCGCTCAGGGCCTGGCAGAGCAGAGGTGTCCACGAACTTTTGCTGATGGAGCAAAAAGAGCCAGTCCTTTTGAGGACAGACCCATGGTGGATCCCTGGCCTCACCACTACTATTGCTGTGACTCTTGAGGAAATCACGTGAGCTCTTTGTACTTCTGTTTCTTCATCTGTGAAATGGGCATGGTGTCACTCACCCAGCAAGCTTGTTACAGGGCTGGCTATAAATCCCCCAGCCCAGTGGGCCAGATGTGTGACGGCTGTTACCATCTCCTCATTACTGATTATAACCTAAACATGAGAGCTCAGTCTGGGTCTTTAGTTAGCACCTGCTGTGTACAATGAACAATGGGGAAAGTTCCTTCTTCTCTGCTTCCCTCCCCCTCCCCTCCCCTTCCAGGCCCACAACTCGAGCTGGCTTGTGGGGTCACTCTCCCAGGCTGGTGGCCACAGCGAGGGGGCGTGGCCCTTCTCAGGTGACCAGCACTCCCTCCCTGGGCTGCTGGATACAGAGGTGACTAAAGTGGAGATGGGCTATAGGTCCAAGGCTACAGTGTGTCCCTTCTGGGTCCTCTCCCTATCCTCCCGAGAGGACAGCACCTGAAAAAGCCTGGGATTTGGTCCTTGGGCCCTGAACTGTAAGAGGGGGAGGAGGTCTGGAAGGTGGCCACTGATGTTTCTAAAAGTTAGAGAAGCCCCGTGGCAAGGTGGGAAGAGCTTGGGAAGCCTACCACACACCCCTTCCAGCCTCCAGGCCTTGGTCCACACAGGACTCTCCGTCAGGGCTGCCCTTTCTGTCTTGTGCTCACACAATCACAGGGATCTTCCGTGACCCAACGCAAGTGTCCCCTCTGCCAGGAAGGCTTCTCCACGCTGCAGCCGGAGGGGATTGCCACTCACTCACATCCTTTGGTGCTCCTGTCCCCCATGGCCCTCATCTCTATAGACCCTGAGGATTCCCCTTCACTTGATGGGCCCAGAGTGGCCACCCTGAGCTGGCACTCAGTAGGTGTGCCCTACAGTTTTGCTGAATGAAGGAGGCTTGGCTGTCATCCTGGCCCTCCTTCCTGCTCAGGGACTCAGTTTCCTCATCTGTAAAATAGATGTGAAGTTGGACATGATGTCCGAGGCCTTTGTGCACTGATGTACTAGGGTTGGGCTGTGAGACGGGGCAGCTGGAGGTGGGAGGAGGGCGGCCTTGGGGGCCTCTTCCAGCCTCCAGGCCTTTGTCCACACAGGACTCTTCGTGGGTAGGTGAGGACTGGAGCTCAGCCCTGAGGGCGGCCAATCCCTGCCGCTCTCCATGGCCACCCACAGGCTCGGGTTTAATGGGGAGAACCCTCCTTAGCCCCACCACGAAAAGCCAGGCACCGGGAGGGGTGCTGCCCACTTGATGTCTAATCTCCTTCCATGCCTTCTACCTCCCTTCAAGAGCCTTCTCAAACTGGGGCCTGCCAGGTTCTCTAGCCTCAGCTGTCACTCCCTCGCAAGCTCACAGAACAGTCTAGCCTCTTGGCTTTGGCTCGTGTTGTCCTCTGCCTGTTGACTCCTGCTGTCCTTGCCTTTCAGGTTCATTTAGAGGATACCTCCTCCAGGAAGCCCTCTCTGAGATGCCCTCCCCCACACACCCCAGCCTGGGGCTGGGGCACTTCTGTGCTCTCATAGCACTCACTCCACCGTGGCATTCCTCACCCCAGGTTTAACAGTTCCAGGGTGACCCCCCGTGCCCCTGTACCCTACACTCCCCGACAACAGGACTAGGTCTGTCTGACACCATGTGTCAGACACACGGTGTCAGGCACCGTCTGTCTGTCTGCTGGCTGGCCGGAAGGACTAGAGAAGGAGTGTCTGCTGGCCTAGGGCCACCAGTGGGAGGTGACTTCTGTGTCCCTGGGCCCTTCCTGGAAGGGACCGCCCCTACCTGCCCACCCTGCCGTTACCTGGCCAGATGATGGCTTCCAGCAGGGTGACTCGTCTGGCCAGGAGCTCCAGCTGAGCCTGCTGCTGCAGGAAGCTCTGTAAGCTAGGAGCCTGATGGGAGATCAAGAAGAGCAGACGGTGCGAGTCCGGCCTCCAAGGGCTGGGCCGGGGAGCCGAGGGCAGGGTGCAGGGGCCAGGCACCGGCCAGCTTCGAGGCAGGAGCCCGGGTGTGAGTCTCTATCGAGACCTCGGTCTCCCCTTCTAAGTGGGGACGGGGCCTGCCTGGCTCCTCAAGTGAGCAGATGGGTGGCGACATTGGTGGGTAAGTGCCTGGGGTGGGGGTCTGGCTCTCTCCCTGAAGGGACCTGCAGGATGGGTTAGGAGGACCAGAGGGGGACCTGCAGCTGTAAGGGAGACACTTGGGGCTAGGAAGGCCTGCCCTGTGGGGGCCTCTGGGGGCTTCTGGGGGAGGGGAGGTCGGAACTAGTGGGGGCTATAGTACCTGGAGTACCCTGGGGCCTGAGCCTGGCTTCGTCACCCACAGTCCCCTGTATTTCTGGAGTCTAGCTCCATGACCTATTGTCCTGTGGGCTTGGAGACTGGCTCTGTTACCCATGATTTCTGGAGAGCTGAATGCAGCCTGACTTTATTACCCATGACCCCCTGCTCTGCTGCAGTCTGGCTCTGTTACCACAATCCCTTGCTCTGCGGCAGTCTGGCTCGGTTACCCACAACCCCCTGCTGGTCTGGAGTTTGGCTCCATTGCCCCTAATTTCTTCCAAATTCAAAATCTTTCACCTCTGCTTCCCCTGCAGGCCTGCAAGCCACATTACCCACAATGCCCGGAGGCCCAGGTCTGACCACAGAGGTGGGGGGCCCAGGTCTCTAGGGCCCCCTTTTCACCTGTGGAGGAAGGACCAGCCATCGAGGGATGGGTGGCCTTGCTCTCTCAGGTCCTCACCTGCCTAGGGCAGGCACCTTCTCCAGCCTCATGGCTGAGTCCAGGCAGCTCCACCCCTGGAGGGCCTGGGGAAGGCTAGCGGGTGGGGGCTGGGCTGTCTGTCCGTCTGTCTGTCTCTACTCACCATAGAGCCCAATCATTGTTTCCAAGATTAAAACCCTCTCAGCTAAAATCTTCAAAGCCTCGCGTAGTTGGTGCAACCCCTCCCCCTGCGGAGGAAAGAGACAGATGCAGCCGTGAAGGGGGCAAGGGAGGGGGCCCTGCAAAGCTTGTTGGTGGCCCATGCCCCACCCTGGACATGCACCTCAGCCCCGCACCACCTGCCACAGCCCAGGGCCCCGCGGACAGCCAGGATAAGACCAGGAGAGGACGGGGGCAGGGGGGCGGGGCAAGACAGGTGGAAGCAGTCCCCTCAGTAAGTCCTGATGGGTTCCAGCTGGCTGCTCTCTGCCCACACCCCTGCACGGGTGGCAAGGGGTTGCCGATCCTCAGGGGCTGCACTGCCGTCCCAGAGCCTGCCCTGGAGACTGTCACAGGGTGCCCCTGAATCTCTGTTGCCTGATACCTGCATGATTCCTGCCCCATCCCTAGGCCACATGCACTCTCGTTTACTTAATAGTCTTTAAACTGAGTCACTTTTGCCTTAATACTACATTAATCTCACTCTAATGAATTCCATCAGTGGGAACAGGCTACTGACGGATACCCTTTCCATTCACATCAAAATGAATATGTACAAGTAAAATGAGAAAATGTTTGAGTGGCATCACTTTTGGGAAGTTGTGCTTAAAATGCTGGAAAAGCTGAGGCTCAGGCCCAGGTGTCCACTCTCCAGCCCTTCTCACTTTGGGCTCATCCCTCCCTGGGCTCGGACTGTTCCAAGTCCATATTCTGCATGTCCTGGAATCAGGCCCCCAATCCCACCCTCCCTTCTAAGCAGTATCTCTGGGTCTGCAGCCCCCAGGTCCAGGGATGTGGCAGTGGGCCCCCAAAGCCCCCCCCCACCCTCCCAGCAATGTCAGCTGGCACCCCAGGCTCCTGCTAGTCTTCACTTTCACTTCCAATTTGTCTGTCCTTTCCTTCCCCAACACGGGGTCCACGGTCGGGCTGAACGTCCACACTCCCTCACTCCTTCCTCTCTCCTAGTCCAGACTCAAGCTAGTTCCAGAATGTTGATATCTTAATTCCAACAGAGCACCAGGACAGCAAATAGAATGATTCTAGCCCTGACATATCTGGGAGTCTCTCTCAGCATCCTTTACTTAGTACAGACTAAATAAAGGGATGGGGTAGAATATGCCTATTGCTACAACAGAAATCTGACCCTTTAGGGTTCCTCAAAACATCTAACAACTGAGAGTCCGCCCAACATGTCCGTGAGCCTGCTGTAGCATTGCTGGGACTGTCCATTATAACCCAGCTGTCCTGGCCGCATCACCAGTTTGGGGCTACCCTCGGGCCACTAACTGGCCACTGCAGCCTAATGCCTCGGGTCACCATGGGCCACACACCAAAGTAATCACTCTTCAAGTATTACAGGAGCAGGCTCTAAAAATAGATGACCTTCAAAAATTACATTAAGCCACTCTGGGCATGGACGGTGGGACAAGCTGACATCCTGCATGTCCTGGTATGATGTAATTAAGAGGGTGTCCCCTGGTGCTCCTGCCAAGAGCATTTAACTGCATCTCATCACCAAGAAACAATCAGACAACTCTAGATGGCGGGATATTCACAAAAAGACAAAGTCAAGAGAAAGAAGAAAAGGACAGGGACTGTTCTAGATGACAAGGCACTAGAGATGTAACAACCAAGTTCAATGCATGAATCTTGATTAGATCTTAGATTTTAAAAAAATAGCTAAGGGGCCCCTGGGTGGCTCAGTCAGTTAAGCGTCTGCCTTGGGCTCAGGTCATGATCCCAAGATCCTGGGATTGAGCCCTGCATTAGGCTCTCTGCTCAGTGGGGAGTCTGCTTCTCCCTCTACCCCTCCCCGCTGCTAGTGTTCTCTCAAATAAATAAATAAAATCTTAAAAAAAAAAAAAATTAGAGAAAACATGTCCAACTAAGTCCTGCTATTTGGATCCCTTCCAAGATGGGTGGCCTGTTGTTTGCACTGGTAATGCCCCACTCCCCTCCCGGCCTGGATTGAATATCCAGGGCCTGTTGGACACCCCCACTCAGCTTTAACACAGACAGCTCCCAGTTTCCCTGGACAGAACCCAGTGGCGCTGCTTCTCCGGGCTCTCTACTGTAAAGTTTGCCTTAAGGGCTTGCTCCCCCTCACAGTCAAACCAGCACCAAGTATTGCTTAGTCTATGGACATCCATCTGTCCTCACCATACCCCCTGCCAGTTCCAGCCCCCACAGTCTCTCGCCAGGATGACCACAACAGACTCCCACCTGGCGTCTCTCTTTCTGCTTCTCCCGTATTGCCCCCTTCTCCCATCTATTCTCCACACGGCAGTCAGAGGAACTGTTGGCAAACAAAAATCTGACCATGTCCCTTCCCTGCTGTTAAATACTTCAATGACTCCCCACTGTCCGCAGGACAAAGTTCAAATTCCTCAGTATGGCCTCCTAAGTCCTGAAAGCCTGTTTGACCTCCGTCTCACCCCTTGACTGTCACACTGTACCATGCCAAGTATTTGCAGCTCCTTGAATACCCCAGCCTCACTCCAGCCCCAAGGACTTTGAACATGATGTTCTCTCTCCTCTGCTTGAACACTTTGTTTGGTTAATGCACCCTTCAGGCCTCAGCCCCCATCTCCTCTTCCAGGAGGACGCTAAATCGTCCCCCATCACAGCTGAGCCATCTCTGTCCTGTTGCCGCTGGTTACTGGTCTGTTCCACCCTCCCACTGTGAGCACCTTGAGGGTGGGGGCTGTGTCCAAATCACATCTATATGTCTATGGTGCCCAGCCTGGGGCCTGGCACCCACCGAGGAGGGACTGGTTTCCTCGGTCCTGGGAACTGAAAATCCTGGGCTTCAGTTCCATCTCTGCCAACAATTTGCTCTGCGGAGTTGGGCCTCAGTTTTTCCTGTCTGAATGAGGGGTACGAGCTTTGGTCTAGATGGGCTGGTTCAGCTCAGTCGCTTTGGGGGCAGTGCCTGCAGTTCATGCTCATGACCACTGGGTGTCACTGCTGAGCCACAGTCGGGCCAGTGGTTCAGGTCTACCTGGGGGTTGGTGGGTGGAGAGTGGCCCCCTCGGGGCCCTTCCCCACAGTGGACCTCATGCCCACCTATCCCCAACAGAGCTAGTCCCCCAGTCTCCAAAGCCTCATGCTGACCCCAGCCCAGCAGGCCCCCCTCAGGCAGGTGGCAAGCAGGGGCAGAAGTACAGTGGGTGAAGGGGAGGCAGGAAGATGGGCAAGGGCCCTGCTACCTCTTAGGTGGCCCCTCCCAAAGGTGGTCCTGAGTTCGAGGCCTGGGTTGGGGCCGTTCAGGCATCTGTTCTCTTGGAATCCCCATGCAGGGATGGAGCTGCATAGTCTAATTCAGCCTCATTTCACCTCTCCCACCTCTCCTGGGCTGAGTAGGAAACATGTTCCCAGAGTGGGAGTGGCCAATGAAGGGGCCCAGGGGAAGCAGAGGGCTGGGCTCACACCAGTCTACCTGACCCCCAGCTCGTGTCCATATTGGCAATGTGCTTAAGAGGCTCTGGAACCACTAGGGAGTGAAGGGGGGTGTGGGGAGTAGAGTGAGCGTGAGGGGCTGGGAGAGGCTTGCTGGAGAGGTAACAGGGCCCCCAAAGTCATGGGAAGACACAGGGAAGTGCTCGTGCAGGGTGAGGGGCTCCCACGGCTGTATCCATCACTGACCCCATAATCAGGAGCAGAGAGGGCAAGGCAGGCACTGGGTGCATCCCATGTCCTCATTGACCAGTGCCCGCTAGGAAGTAGGGCACCCCAGCCAGACTGCACCAGGGAGGGACCGGGGGAAAGGGAGGCCTGATACCAGCCTTCTGAATAGCTTCCCAGTTTTCTCTCCTGTAGGGGTGTCTGCCCCCACCCCACCCATTTTCCAAATGTGTATGTCACGATGGATTCCAAGTCCCTGTATTGTGGGACTTTTGGTCCTCCCCCACCGTGCATCTCTTGAGTGGGCAGATTTCTAGGCCTGGGAACTCATTCACGGCAACTATCTCCAATGATTGTAAAGGTTTCTAGGACCCCACATGTGGTTTCTCTGTCCCCTTTCTCATATACGCTATGTCTCCTGTGTATGTGACAGTTTCTAAAGGCCTTCCTTCTCAATCTTCATGGGCTTCCTATGTGTATAGTGGTTTCTCTCATTTTCCATGGTTCTCCCATGCATATGATGGTTTCTAGGCCTCTCCTCCCACTCCCCATGGCTCTCCTATGTATGTGATGGTGTCTGGGACCTCGTGTTAATTATAGCTCTTTTGAGAATAGTGGAATCTAGGTCTACTGACCTCATTTACCATGTACGACGTATATGTAATGGTTTTTAGGGCTCCCTTCCCGTGATCCATGGATCTCCTATGTGTACGGTGGTATCTAGGTCCCTTATCCCTTTTACCACAGGGCTCCAGTGTACCTCACTGTTTCTACGCCTCCCTCCCTACGCTTCACAGCTTTCTCAAGGCCCCCTGTCCACTGTTTTGTGTGGATATTGATTTCATGCTTCCCTTTCTTCTGCAGACAGAGCAGAAGCCAAAGCCCTTGCTGGGAAGGGACTATGGAGGCAGAGGATGCAGTCTGGACTGGGTTAGCCCAAACCACCCAGGAGGAAAGGGCAGGGTCACCCTGGCTTGGAAAGGCCACAGACGGAAGGCGGAGACAGGGACGAAGACAGAGACAGAGAGCGTGGGGTCCACTGATGTGGCTGACCCTGCCTGGTTGGGAGGGACAGGATGGGGAGGGGGCCAGAGCGGAGATCTGTCAAGGCTCCTTCCTAGGAGACCAGGTTGTAGTGGGGATTTGGAGGAGGTGCCCCCATTCCAAATGATCTCCTGAGTGCCCAGGGCAGGAAGGGGCAGTGGGAGGTCTGTGCTCCGCTGGAGCTTACCCAGTGGCTCTTCTCCCCACGGTCTCCTTTGGGGCCAGGTTCTCCCTGCAAGGAGAGACAGAGGTAGAAGGAATGAGAGAGGGAAGGAGGAAGGGAGGGTGGGAGCCTGTGGAGGGGAGGAGAGGAGGAAAGAGGGAAGGAGAGATTGGGAGAAGCTAAAAGACTGAGACAGAGAGTGGCTTGTATTGGACTGACACCAGGTTAAATGCACAAAACAATGATTTGAAGGCAATGGAACATAATAAAGAGCAGCCAGAAACTGGAGGCTCTTTGACCTTTTAAAAAATGGAACTGCCTTTGGTAAAAAAAAAAAAAACAACAAAAAAAACCCCATACATATATAAATATGTATGTGTATTTATACACTTATGGCTTTTCCCCTGAGGGCACAACCCAGCCCCCTTGGCCTGGCAAATAGCTCAAGCAGGAAGCTTTAGTCTTACTGGGCTGAAGAATCACAGGTTGGAGTGCAGACTGCCAAAGGAGGAGGAAATTGAAAGGAAATCCTAGAAAGCAGGGAGCCACAGTAGGGGAGTGAGATCTACATAAATACCCCCCTCTAATCCTTGGATGGTCCATGAACTACCCATCCTAAAGTCACAAAGCTGAGTCCAACCAATACTCTAGACCAAAAATCAACATTCTTCAGAGGAAGATAACAGAATCCAGATTCTCTTTACTTCATTATCTATATTGTCCAGTATGGACAATTACTAGATATATAAAGAAACAGGAAAATGTGACCCACAATCAAGAGAAAAATAAGTCAGTAGAAACAGATCCATAGCCAACCCAGACACAATTTAAAATATCTGTGATATTTATCATCAAGGAAATGCAAATCAAAACTACAATGAGCTATCACCTCACACCTGTCAGAATGGCTAAAATCAACAACACAAGAAACAACAGGTATTGGTGAGGATGCAGAGAAAGGTGAACCCTGGTGCACTATTGGTGGGAATGCAAACTGGTGCAGCCACTTTGGAAAACAGTATGGAGGCTCCTCAAAAAGTTAAAAATAGAACTACCCTATGATCCAGCAATTGAACTAAGTATTTACCCAAAGGATACAAAATACTAATTCAAAGGGATACATGCACCCTGATGTTTATAGCAGCACTATCTAAAGAGCCAAATTATGGAAACATCCCAAGTGTCTATCGATTGATGAATGGATATATAGTATATATATAATGAAATATTATCCAGCCATAAAAAAGAATGAAATCTTGCCATTTGCAATGACATGGATGGAGCTAGAGTATTATGCTAAGTGAAATAAGTCAGGGAAAGACAAATACCATATGATTTCACTCATATGTGGAATTTAAGCAATAAAACAAATGAGCAAAAGGAAAAGAGAGAGAGGGAGGCATACTAAGAAACAGACTCTTAACTATAGAGAACAAACTGATGGTTACCAGAAGGGAGGGAGGGAGGTGGAGTGATGGGGATTAAGGAGGGCACTTGTCATGATGAGCACCAGGTGACATATGGAAGTGTTGAATCACTATATTGTACGTCCCTGAAACTAATATTACACTGTAAGCTAACTAACTGGAATTCCAAAAAAAACTTAAAAAAATAAAATATCTGTGATAAATATGTTAAGGAATGTAGTGGAATTGATATTGGTAGGTGATGAGATGGGGAATTTCAGGAGATCTGTGAAAACTGTAGGAAAGCATCAGATGGAAATCCTGGAAATGAAAAGATAATATGAAATGAAATAAATGAAATAGATAAATGAAAAAGATAATACTTGAAATAAAAAATTTGTTAGCTGGGATTAACAGAAGATTGGCCAGAACAGAAGAAAGACTTCTTTAACTTGAAGACAGGTCAATGCAAGAACTCAAACTGAAGCACAAGGAGGAAAAAAGATTTTTTTTAAAAAATTAATGGAGCTGGGGCACCTGGGTGGCTCAGTCGTCAAGTGTCTGCCTTTGGCTCAGGTCATGATCCCAGGGTCCTGGGATCGAGTCCTGCATCGGGCTCCCTGCTCCACGGGAAGCCTGCTTCTCCCTCTCCCACTCCCCCTGCTTGTGTTCCCTCTCTTGCTGTCTCTCTCTCTGTCAAAAAAATAAATAAAAACTTAAAAAATATATATATAACGGAGCCTGGGGCACCTGGCTGGCTCAGGTGGAGGAGCACGTGACTCTTGATTTGGGGGTTGTGAGTTCAAGCCCCATGTGGGGTGGGTGTAGAGATTACCTAAATAAAAAACTTTAAAAAAATTAACAGAGCCTCAATGACTCATGAGAGAGTATTAGGTATAACTGAAGTCCCAGAAGGAGTGATGAGAGTGCAGGAACAGAAAAAATAAGTTGAGGAAATATTAATCAATTTTGTCTCTAGGGGCGCCTGGGTGACTCAGTCGTTAAGCATCTGCCTTCGGCTCAGGTCATGATCCCAGGGTCCTGGGATCGAGCCCCGCGTCGGGCTCCCTGCTCTGCGGGAAGCCTACTTCTCCCTCTCCTGCTTCTCCCTCTCCCACTCCCCCTGCTTGTGTTCCCTCTCTCGCTGTGTATCTCTCTGTCAAATAAATAAATAAAATCTTTAAAAAAAAATTTTTGTCTCTAAATTTGATTTAAAAACAAAACAAACCAGACTTTTTGTTTCTGGCATGGCACATGAGGAGCTCAGAAGTTGACATTCTGTCCTAATAAAAAGGAAAATCCTGAACAAACTGGAAAATCAACAACTCTTCTTAGAGCCATCAAAGCAGTGAGGTCGCAGGACAAATTACTACCCCCCCAAATTGCAGAGAAAGGGGTGGGTTACAATTTCCTGAGCAGAAGCCTCACTAGGAACCAGTGCCAGGTAGGAAAACCTAAACATAACTGACGAATTGCTGGAAGCCAACTCTCAATGTGGCCGACGCTGAGAGTTAAACATTCCAGGGGGGGGACTCAGTTTGGGGGTAATCCCCACATCTGTGTGAGTTTTATGCAGGAGCTCTGTCAAGTCCTCACAGTGAATGCTGTGGAAAAATCTCCTCGTGCTTTCAGTAGGAGGAGAGGGAAAGGAACCATCTTGAAACACTCCAGAGCATTCTGTTGTTCTCAGGAGAAACTGTTTTACTGGATCCTAACCTGCTGGGGTCTTATAGGAGCCTAATTGACCCGGGGGTAGGGAAATACCCAACTATAGCTGGCTTTAGCCTTCCGCGTGTGGGAAGAGAAAGCCCAGCTCAGCCCCCGCTAGCCATCTTGTCCCAACTAACGGGGAAAAACAACCCCCACCAAAAAACAAAACAAAACAAAACAAAACAAAAAAGAAATTAAGAAGTGCTGGTGAAGTTCACAGTCCACGGGTATAGGCTTAACGAAAGACTGAGACTTAACCATAGGGCTACGGAACGCTTCCTCCCCCTGCACACCTAACCACTACATTGCTAAAGTCTCTTTATTGCCGTTCTTTTCACCCAGTACATCATGTTTACCTTCGAACAAAAAATTACAAGGTATTCCATAGGCTGCCTTTGAGTTTTGTTGACTGTTTCCTTTGCTGGGCAAAAGTTTTTTTTTTTGACACTTTTTTTTTAAATGACATTTCAAGATTTTTTGTTTATTTATTTGAGAGAGAGAGACAGCGAGAGAGGGAACACAAGCAGGGGGAGTGGGAGAGGGAGAGGGAGAAGCAGGCTTCCCGCTGAGCAGGGAGCCCGACTCAGGGCTTGATCCGAGGACCCTGAGATCATAACCTGAGCTGAAGGCAGACACTTAACTGACTGAGCCGCCCAGGTGCCCCTGTGCAAAAGCTTTTTATCTTGATGAAGTCCCAATTGTTCATTTTTGCTTTTGTTTCTCTTGCCTTTGAAGAAGCGTCTAGCAAGAATTTGCTGCAGCCGAGGTCACAGAGGTTGCTGCCTGTGTTCTCCTCTAAGATTTTGATGGATTCCTGTCTCATAATTAGGTCTTTCATCCATTCTGAACTCATATGTGGAATTTAAGAAACAAAACAGATGAACATAGGGGAAGGGAGGGAAAAATAAAATAAGATGAAAACAGAGAGAGAGAAGCCAAACCCTAAGAGACTCTTAACTATAGGAAACAAACTGAGGGTTGCGGGAGGGGAGGTGGGTGGGGGGATGGGGTAACTGGGGGATGGGCATTTAGGAAGGCACTTGATGGAATGAGCACTGGGTGTTGTATGCAACTGATGAATCACTAAATTCTACCTCTGAAACTAATAATACACTATATGTTAATTAAATTGAAATTAAATTTAAAAATTTAAAAAAATTACAAGGCATACTAACAGGCAAAAAACACAGTTTTAAGAAACTGAGCAAATACCAGAACCAGAGTCAGATATAGCACAGATGTTGAAATTATCAGACCAGGAATTTAAAAAAACAACTATATGGGGCACCTGGATGGCTCAGTCAGTTAAGTGTCTGCCTCCAGCTCAGGTCATGATCTTGGTGTCCTGGGAACCCCACATCAAGCCCCACATGGGGCTTCCTGCTCAGTGGGGAGTCTGTTTCTCCCTCTCCCTCTGCTCCTCCCCACTGCTCATGCTCTCTTTCAAATAAATAATCTTTTAAAAAAACAACTATGATTAATATGCTAAAGGCTTTAATGGAAAAAATTGACAACATGCAAGAACAGATGGATAATGTGAGCAGAGAGATGGAAATTCTAAGAATCAAAAAGAAATGCTAGATTTTGGTTGTAGGTGCTCTTCATAGAGTCAGTTAGCTAAGGGTCATCCCATTCTTCCCAGGCCTCTTAAGAAATACTTCAATTCTAGCAAAGGCCCTGCTTTCTAGTATCAGGAGCCATGGTCCAGAAACACAAATTAAACAGAATTTTAGCCATTTATCTCCCAGACTGTCCCTTTCCTGACATTCTACCTAGAGCAGGAAAAAATAATGAAAACACTACCTGCAGTCACAAGTCCTCCAGTTTCCTGGCCAAGATTTCATATTCCTTTAGAGATACCTTTCAAGGAGAAAGTGACAAGGGAGGGGAACATGGGGGATTTCAAAGGTACTGATAAGGTTCTACTTCTTTTTTTTTTTTTTTTAAAGATTT